GGAAAGGGAAGTATACTCTCCTGAGAACACTCATGGTATATCATAAAATCTTTTTACAGTTATCTGCAGAAAAGTGCATTTCCCTGGCTGATGAAATCAAACGCTTATTAAGGAAAAGTCTATCTTTGCGACGTTATAGATACTTGGTCCAAGTCATCATTGGCGAAAAGAAAGGTCAAGGAGTGAAAATGGCACGCCGCTGCTATTGGGACTCTGATACTGATAACTGTGCAGATGCTTCATTTGTAAATGATTCGTTGTTCTGTGTTGCCTCGGTTTTTGGTGTTTATAGCTACTAAGTATATGAGTGTTGCACATCAAAAAGTGTCTTAAAATATTTTATGAATTTCCAATTAGGCATTAATGATTTTTTTAAAAAGAGAATACCGGTAATTTTGTAAGTCATGGTAAAAGGATGGAAAAGTTGCCCTTAGTGATAAGCGTCTTTCACCAAAAAGCAAGTAACTGGGTCGAGCCAATAAGCACCAACGAACATATCCGCAATATGAACATTGAAGCATTTGCCTCTTAGCACAATTGAATATCTTTGGATGATGTTCATGTCGCAGATTTTTAAATACAAACCGCTTCAACAAATATGAAATATATATTACAGAAATGTTAGTTCAGTGTCACTATTCATTGCCAGTTGTTGATGGTTCCTTGCTTTATAATAAAGAAGCAACAGTACTAGTTTGCAAATACTAGTAGAAAGGTTTAATCAACTGATTTAAGTTAAATTGACCATTATAATAGGTCTATTTGAAAACAAGCTAAATTTTTTTAGTAAACCAACTTATAGTTAGCTATCTGCAACGTGGAACCCAGCAAGTATGTACATCAATCCAAATTATCACACTCCACTAGTACAGCGAGATGAATTTTTTCACATGTCAAATCCTCGAATAGCAGATGCAGTAACGGTATCAGTACTAGTAGGAAAGATAAGGTACAAAAATATAGTTCTAGAATGTAGAAGATTATACGACATATACAATTATGAGGTTATTTTGAGACCCATGACCTCAGAAAAGACAAAAAGTGATTGCATCTACGTTACTAAGGTTAATTATGAGTCATGTCATTAAAGTCTCTAAACATGAGTTACAGTAGGTGTAGGAACCGTAACCAGGTAGTTTGTACCAATAAATCAGTCTCAGCGGCCATACCAACTGGTGCCACGCTTCAGATTAATTACTCCTAGCTTTATCCCAACATACTGTTATGCCGAAAGACATCGCCTATCGAGGAACGTGGTAGCTTGCCATATGTATCACATGCTTTAACTTCCTCCAAAGATGGCGATCCACAACCTTGTCAGATGACTGGCCATATTTAATCAATATCCTGTGTTCATTCCCAAATTTATCGTTCATTTGACAGTACATAAAACATTTTTCGAATCCACCTATAATCAAAAGCCATCAACCTAATCATACCTTCTCCCTTCATAGGCCGTGTTTCATTCGTCGCTTGGTTATGAGACGAAATCACGCTCACACCAAAAGTGATACAGATTGGCAAAAGCCAGGTGGGATTTCTGGGTCATTTCCGACAATTTTCCTGAGATAAACTCATGAGGGATGTAGGAATTTGCAAGATGGGTTGATCGATTGAACCAAACACTAATACCTATCATTAATTTGAGCGTTGAAGCTGACACTAAAGGACTGCTTTTTTGTCTACACACACTTTTATTACCAATGAGTAAATATGCAGTGGTGTTCGTCAGATTAGTGATTGATGAGTTTTGTAAGACTGGCATATTTTTTGTAAGCGTTTAAAATCGTTTATGCTAACAAAATATATATCCTATGCATAGATCTGTTCGTAACACTAATATATCTGCTTATATGATCTGCGATGGATCTCATTATCTGCATCTTTTTTTCTCATCACCTGTAGTCACTATTCACAAGGAGTAATTAATGAGCTTAGTATATTCATGCTTTCATAAGATGAAAAATCTGAAAACAATAAGTAATTTGGGAAGTCTTTTGATTCGAATTCACAGGAGTTGACCACCCTAAACAACTTTGTTTTAAAAAATAGATATGCTGTCATGAGTGACATGTTTCACAACTTTCAGTGATAAACTGATGCTAAATAAGTAGGGTAGTTTCTAATACATGAATAAAATCTCAAGTTGAAGAGTGGATGGTTATTCATTTAGAGTTATTATTATAATTTAAACACATAAATATTGGTACAACGAGGCACCGAATACATATGCGCCACATTTCACCATCTGATTTGTGTGAGGACTTGGATACTACATGGTTCATGAGAATCATTTAAGCATACTAAGGAGTTTTGAATAGTTGGTATCAAATGTCAAGTCAGAGTTTCATGGATGACAGTAGGTCTACATCAAGTAGGTTAACAAAAAAGATCAGCTGAAATCAAATATAAGTGATTGTTATCCATAAATATAAAGAAATTTCTACGATTTAACGAGCACTTTGTATTGGACTACCTTTATAATAATACAGGATAAAAAGATAGAGCCAATCTAGAAAACATGAAGGAAAAATCAGATGAGCTTAATAAGCAGAAAATGGAGTGGTTACACAGGTCTAGAGTTGTTTTCAAAATTATCTGTGAAAGTTCACCATTCCTGTTGTCCAAGCAGACATATTTTGTTAATCCCAAATCGAGTGGAATAATTTCATTTTCACAAGTTATAAGATAGTCAACTATGACGATTTCAGTTAATAGTCGGGAGAACTTTTCCATACACTACAACTAATTAGATTTGTACAAATTTTCGGTTACCTGTTGGGTGTTTTTATAGTAAAAATGAGCTGAATACAATGCAACAATAAGTGCAATGCTCTTTTGGCCTTTTCACTGCCATCCAGCCAGGTAACTTCAGGACTGAAGATCTTAGTTAACGTAGACCAAAAATGGCTATGTATCTATGACGCATTTATCATTATCGCCACGTTGTAGGAATAATATTATCTCCTATTTCTACTTCCCTGTATTCCATAAATTTTAAAATGTATTTCCTGTGTTTTTAGTCTGATAATTTAAAAAACCTTTACCTATAATAATCTCTACCAGAAAGTGACAGATTTCTGGACACAAAATACGTGTTCCGACGAATCCCACTTACAATTAAGATCTTTTGGTTGCGTATTTATACTAGGGCATATTTGAGCATTTAAATCTCTGCATTTTGGTAAATTTTGATGTACCCATTCCTAATGTAGCCTGGATATAGACAAGAAGTTGTACCAAATACTATTGCGTCATGGCTAATTTTTCATGATACATTGTATGCTTTTGATAAGAGATTGTGACTGAATAATAAAGTAAAGAAAATCTTCTAGGCACTTACAATACATCAAACATAACATGATATCTTGAAATATTTGACAAATTGAAAATACAGTGACCTAGAGATCGAATTAGGCCGCTATGTCCACTACAGCTGTTATTATTTTGACTTATTAGTTATTTGTGCACTGTGGTTAATTAAACTGATATACATTTCTATGAAGACACGTCACTCAAAACTGTACTAGAAATATTTAGCTTAAAAAAACCAGTATTCACTTAATTACAGAATACTTTTCTATCTAACCATTAAAATTCTATCAGTATATTGAGCTAATTCAGTTTTCATTACAATGATAGGAGTGCCATTAAACTTAAAACAACCCTTAATATAAAAAAAATATTAGGAAGTGTATCATGTAGATAAGAGTGTTAAATTACTATGTATCTACAAGTTCGTTTGCACCTACTTCAGTCAATATTATTCACAACTTGGAAAATAATATACAATATGTTTTTACATTATATTTCATGGTATTTATAGTATAGTAAGTGTGTGGTGTGTGTTACTTATATCGACATAAGTAGTATATGGTGTTATTTAGGAACAGAATCCCTGGAATCAGAGACAAGAGGATCGAACAGTAAAGAATGGAAACAGGATGCAATTTGTATGAACATGCAAGAACAATGAAGTCTGAGTCATTATGAGACAATTGATGGACATTTTGCAAATTAGGCATTTATTTTATGATTGTTAGATTTTATTAACAAGTCCTGTAATTTTGTGTCAAATATATTTGATTGTCGCAACCCATGTTCTGTTCACTACACATGTTGTATACATCTCGAAGTATGTGGAACTAATAAGATTTGTGGAAAATGTACAGGTTAAAAATGATGATAACAAACTCCAAATCTGAAGTTTGTGCTGATGATGTCGTTCAGAAGAACGAAAACTCCACGACCAAACCATCCAGCTCATAGAACAAAACACCACAAAAAACTCCAAATTCGCCTTTTCTATGAGGTTTACAGAAATAAACAAATTCATATCTGGTGTTAAATAATATATTTACCGGTGATTAAGTGTATGATGTAATATATTTCCATAGCAAGATCAATCATTTGTCGCTTTCATTAGAATTTTGTCAAAAAAGGAGAAATAATATCTAACGTATTGCTTTTAACATTCAATTTTATGGAGACTGATTTTTATAAATTTTGAATATTTCCTAACTGAGAAGGAGCCTGTGAATATAGAAATTATATATGACGGACGTTTCATGCCGTATGATCAAAATTCTAGCTTTAAATCAAAACTATTTTCCAATGCTTCAATAAAACTTGCAGAATAAGTACTTAACTATCCCTGTGAAAGGAAGAAAAACTTTTGTCAAGCAAGACTGTACCCCATATTTTCAGCATTTTTGTTGTTGTTGTTGTTGTTGTAAAAACTGGACAATTCTAACTGACCTACATGGTTCAGACTTAGAATCAGTCATTGGCTACTCAATGCCATGTTATATTGACTATTCTTAAACATTGCGTATATTACACTTATTCTAAGTAGCATAATAAAAAAATATACACACTGTAAAAACTGTCCAAAATCTGGTTAGGTTTAGATATAAAGAAATACCTGGAAAGTTATACAGTGGTGATGATTAAAAAAAGATATACAGTTGAAAAATGAAACACCATCCTGTAGAGAAATAACATTATGTATTTCGATAGGTGAAAATTAGATTAATTTGAAAAATGCATGTTTAGTATCTGCATAGTGATGACCATAGTAAACGATAAGAACTAGTGATCATTACTAATGTGATGGCGTATACTTTAGAATGTCAATATTCAGTCCACTTTCTACGTACATAATCAAACATACTACGATCTTAATAGAATACCCGAAAACAATACATTGTTTATTGAAATGCTAGCAGTACTAGTAATTTTAACACTGTGAATAAGAATCTTCATAAAGCATTCAAATATTTTAATAAAACATCTTTAACACAATAATAATGTTGACAGGGTTTACTATAAACATCCAGGATTTACAAGATATCGCATAACAAAATAATAAAAGTACGACCACTGCGTATTCACACTTTTCTAAGACTATTCTAATTAAAAATCTCAGATATTTACTCACATCATTCCTATTAACGAATTCAGTGGACACAGAGAGTCCACTTAAGGAAGTTGGAAAACCCTGATTCCAAACTAATGGTGTACATGGGCTCCAGTATCTTGAAGGAATAAATAGCGTATCAACCTATTGTTAGACACCAGCTACCATGTGACTACGTCTCCTTACATTGCTCTACTGACTTGTGGATTGGACCTCTAGGTCAAAGACTCGGGGAGTAGCCCCTCAAGAAAATCATCTGGCACCCGGGAAGTATCTCAGCCCTCACACAAATCGGACGATTTATGTGGCTCATATCGATTTGTTGCCCCTTTCTACCAATATTCATGTGTTTACATAAATAAATATCAATTCATAATATATTTGTAGAAGTAAACCATATACGGAGAGATCTTTAAAAATTAATATCCGAAATGTTACTTCATTGAAACAAAAAGAAAATCAATATTACATAAATGCACAATGGATCTAATACAATTGGGGTTTTATCTCCATAATAGAAAAAAAAATAAATCAAAAGTCATCAAGATAAAGAATAAATAACTAAGCTACAAGGGACTACAAATTCTTTCTTTATTTGAAAGAATAAAAGAAATTACAAGAAAAATACCAAATCAGTCAGATACATATGAAGCATGTTTTTTGTTCTTTTTATTCAAGAAGTAATAAGGGATGCATACATGCATACAATCAAATCATAATGAGAAATAAAAAAGGGAGAAGAAAGAAACCAAACACCTAAAAGATAACAAAACATTTCTAGTATAACTGGGAATATTATAATTATCAATAAAGGTATTATTATTATCATAAATGGATGGATGTGTTTCATAGTAGAGGATAAGGAATTGAGATCTAAGATTTACGTAGGAATTGTTTACCTAATACAAAATTGAAATGAACAATTTCATATGATTGATCAGAGATAGATTAACAATTAGATACTCTCATTTTAATATACATTCATTCAAAAAAAAATAAAGAAAAAGAAGCCAAACCTAATCCAATTACATTAAGATTTAAAATGTTGTCATGGTGTACAAATTATAAAATGCATTGTTTTGTAGAGAGAAAAAAAAAAGAAAATAATAATGAACCATAACATGAGATGCAAAAATTGTAGTTATTTTATTTTTAACTACTTATTTGTGAAAATAAGTAGTAAAACTATAACAATAAATATTTCCTAGATATTTATGTGGTTGCACTTAAAACGGCTCGCATTGCTAATGTTTGTAATTGACAGATAGCAACATAATTTGACGGTAAATCAGAATCTGTTTCATCACGAATCATATCTTCACAGTTTGCACTGTTATTACTAGATACAGTATGTCCAGAAAAATGATGATGACAAGGAGATTCTATTAAATGTGAATGTAGAGTGTCTGTAAGAGTCCCGTAAATACGTGAAGAATAATTATCATTGAGATTACTGTGACTAATATTATTAATGTTATGGTTATTGGCATTAGTAACAGTGTTGTCCATACTGCAACTTTTCTGATTGCGGGTAGAACCGGTATGTGTATTATCCATGTCGTGGATATTGTTATTCCAACGAACAGTATTCATATCGGGATAACTTTCATTCCTGTAATGGGATGTTTCTGGAGTCATGATACCAAAGTCTAATGTTGCATAGTGCAACATACTTGTGGGCTTTTCAAAATTGTTATGACAGCCTAAGTTACCTATCCTACATGGAACAGTGGTAGTGGTAGATGTTGTTATTGAGGGAGAAGTAGTAGTAGCAGTAGTAGTAACAGAAATATTAGTACTTATTGTTACAGACGATGATGCTACTGATGGTGAGGGTTGATTACGAGCAGTCTGAATAGGTGATTCTTTTGAATATGAACTGCAATATGATATACGATTTATATTATCCCCTGAAACAGGATGATTTGCAGAAGATAAAGATGTACAGTTGGATGTGAAATCAGTAGGTAAACACGAAACACTAGATGAATGAATACACTTTTGATTATTCTCTCCAGGTGGCGATGAAGTAATTGTTTGAGAAGTGCACAGACCAGTACACTGGATTTGAGTTAAAGTCTGACATAAAAAATAAAGTCATTCGTGAATAAATAAAACTTTAAAAATATCACCACTTATTTATCAGTTAAACTAAAATACAATTTAACACATTAACACAGTGTGACGGGAACCAATAGTTTAGACACAGTCGGAAGCACATTTATCCCTCTATAATTGTTGCAGAAACGATGTGAATCCTATTTAAAGATAGGAACAACTATCGACTCATTCCACGATGTTGAACCACTCCTATTATGGACAACTTAGTTCCTTAACCAGAAAACGTAGTGATAAAGATTCTATCCTATAATTGTGAGTAGTAAATCTAAGTCAATGGACAATGTAATGTAAAGATCCTCCAAACAACTGATGAATGTACTATTAGAACGAATTAATAATTCATGAAGGAATATTTCATATTTCTAGTTGTGTACGAAAAATCTATCTTATATATTCTTTTAAAGCCATTCACGTTATTTAGCATAAAATATACTTCGTTAGTTTTCAATAGCAGGTATGCTCGAAACACTGAATATGTTTGATGGAGTTGACGAAAATCGATCTGAGCTGTAATACACCTAACAAGATTTCAGGTTCGGATACTTGTTAGGTCCCGAGAAACATTATGAATGGTAACTTTTGGAATCTAGTGATGGACCAATAGTAAACGTATATTTCTATTGTATGCTTATTAATTAACTAAACTATGCATATTCATATTCCTCTTATTATAAGCTTTATATTGACCCATAAACTATTATTATACGTTTTACCATTCTTGAGTTATACCCAGTATATTAATTACTACCTCCTTCATTCACAGCCACATCTGGCTAATTCTTGCACAAATGTTGTTTCATATTTTATTGGTACGTTGTGGTCTGCTTGATTGGTATATAAACAAAGTATGTTTGAAATATAATGATTCATATCGCAGAGGCTGAGACTTGTGTTCTGGACTTAACTGGCTGGGCTAGGCGGAAAGCAGGACCAATCAGAACTCGAAGCTGCTCATACGGGTTTATGCGTCATTGTTCCGATCGATAACTCATTGCTCTCAAATCGGCGGTCACAAGTTATAACAATATTGTAACACTAAAATTAGAATCTTTAGATGATGTAATTGAAAATCAACTGACTGCTGTAGGTCAAATTATTTATTCTCTACTAAATGTTCAGTAACGTATCATCTCATATTTTATGTTACATGAAGTTATTTCCTACATCTAAACTGTTTATATTCCCGTCGCTATGGGTATTGTCATTTTCACTCTTTTGTTTGATTTCTTATTTGTCCATCTGCCTGGGAATATCATAAATTGAAATTGATTGAAGTAATTTACAAGTTAACACTTAGAAATCCTGACTTTAATTAAGTAGATATGATATAAAAGGTTCGAATAGAACTGAAATGAACTTACCTGAGGACTTGTCGACAAATTATAATACGGTGAATACTCAGTAATCATATCTAGCATGTCAGAATTCTTTCTGTCTGAAGAATTACTAAGATTACGATGTATCTTACATAAATAATCAGATGGAATCTTTTTATTTACACGAAATGGCATATTTTCTTGTCGATTATGATTAGTACCAGTGTTAGCATAACTATGTTCACGACGGCTAATACCATCACCAATGATAACAGTATTACTACATGTATTTGGATTTGGTAGACTAGCATGTCTTGAATGTAAGTAGATTTTGGATGATGTTGATATTGATGGCAATCTTGGTAGAATTAATGTTTGAGATTTGTTTCTAAACTTTCTCATTACATCATGTTCTTTCGAGTTATTATTATTATCACCATTAGTTGTTGTTGTTGTTGTAGAATTGTTTGATATAATTGAACTAGGTTTATCGATCATTTCTGGTAGATTTATATCTGATGACAATGATTTCTTTAACTGAGCAGGTGGATTGTTACAATCATTGATATGTGCTAATTTTTGTTCTCCAAAAGATGGCGTTGAATCACCTCTTTCTAATGCTAATACTACAGGACCAACCCCGTCAATTTGTGTTTGCCCATCTACACTGGTCTTTTTATCAATTTCTGCCACATTATTATTATTATTATCACCGTATTCGTTAGATAGTTGATGAGGGAAACAAACTGTGGGTGTTGTTGGCGTTGTCATTGATGGCAATGAACGCCTTATTGTACTACAACAACAATTATCGTTATCATTATTAGAAGTAGTATCATTCATTCCATTATTGACAGCAATTAAATTATCATAAATTCGTTGATAACATACACTTTGTCCTTGTATGATATCACAATAAGATGATGAATTGTTATATAAAGGTGGTAAAGGTGCTTCAGGTAGATTAGATATTTCATCATCTTCATCAACTTTAACAATACACTCATCCATATCAACAATTGTATCATTTTTTGTGTCTTTATTAAGACAATGTGACTGATGATTATTTGATTGATGAACAGAAAAATAACTACCACCACTACGTTGACAACATCCTCTACCGACATGATGACATTGATGACTAATATTGCTTCTAGTAGCTGTAGCATCATCATCATTATCATCATCTTCATTACAGTTAATTGGATTCATTGATGCAATATCAGTTAATTGTGGACAAGAATATTTAAAACTATGTTGTAGCTTATTACCATGGTTATTGTTTGTATGATTATCATGTTGATTATTTTCATTATTACTAAAATGATTTGATGAATTCTGTAATTGAAGCCAATGTAAACAATTTGATGATACACGATCATGATGTTCTTGTTTTTGTTGAATTTTCTTATTCTTCTTATTATTATGATGATGATTATTCATTAATTTTATAGTTTGATTATGAAGAAGATCAATTTCTGTATCATCAAATGAAAAAGCTAAATTATTACGTTCTGTTAAAACTGGCGGATATGATCTATGATAATGATTTAATGGATCATGATTATCAATTATGTTTTTATGATCATTTCTTCCGTTGAATTGATTATGATCTATTTTTTCATTGATTGAATCATTGAATATAGGTGTAGTACTTAATGATATTGATGATTGTTTATGGAAGATTTTGTTAAATGGCATAATGAATGATAATTTTCCATTATTATTATTATTATTATTATTATTATTATTATTATTATTATTATTACTTCGTAGTAATGAACGACTTTCAGAAATCGATGTTGATAATTGATGAACGGATAGATTATCTCTATGTTGATGAACACATGTCTGTTTAACGAATGTATGATTAAAAGAAAAACAGCAAACAATCATTAATACACCAATAAAAGTACATTTTTAATGAAATAACTTTATTAGGTAACAATGAAAAAGGGATTAGTGTAGCCTACCAACAAGTGTTGTGGTGGTTTAGTAGTTAAGACGTTACAATTTCAACAAACTAGGTCCAAGATTCGAACCCTAGTCCACTGACTCCGGTTTGGGCAACCAAGAAGTATCATTAATACTTACATTTAGCGTATGACTCATACCTAAATACCCGGTGAATGTGTTAATTTATTATTTAGCCATCAATGCTTAGAACAGATTTTGAATGTCTACTGTTTAAAATATATAGCAATAAACATGTGATAATAGTGTAATCTACAGAAGAATTGTTAATCGTTGATTCTAAATTTAATCAGTCAGCTACAACGTAGAGCCTAGTATTTATGCCTATGTACATCGGTTTAAGTTGCCATACCCCATTAGCACAGATGAGGTTGTCAAACCAAATCAAGCAAAAGTAGAGGTAGTAACAGTATCAATAGTAATAATAACATTAGATATCGATGCAAAATATAAATTAGTGAAACAAAAAAATAATATGAGGAATTTAGAATTTTTGAGAATGCAATGAATGAATGCACATGCGCGATTGCAAACGAATTTGAGCCATGTCATTCAAAATCTCTAACCAATGGGGTTACGATAATTACGTGGACCTCAGGGTGGATATCATTTTCATGGTTGACTAACTCCTTCTCTACTTGGTCCTGAAATATATTCCTAACTTTTCCATCATTAAGTTGAAGTCTAAAAGGCTTTTAGCTGTGACTTTTCTAAGTCCAGTATGACGCAAATAAATACATGCTCGAACAAAAGCATGATCTAAGTCTAAGCAAGTGTTTCAGAATGAGTCATTATATGTTCGCTGAGCTGCAATACCGTAAGATCTGCCTCAGTGCCTCTCGGTTTTATTTAGTTTGCCTAGGTAGAGACAACAATGTATGTCCCTATCCATTCTATTTCTATGGAAACCCTGGACAAAATTCAAGAAAGGAAGAACAAGAAAACAACAATTAACAACAGACGAACACAATCAGAGAAATTCGAGGCAAAACCTCAGTACACAGAAGCAAACAAGCAAGTGAAGAAGAACATTAAAGCTGACAACCAGAAATACGAGGAACAACTAGCAACGACGGCAGAACAAGCTCCAAGAGAACGAAATATGAAACAAATATATGATGCAACGAAGAAACTAGCAGGGAGGCAGGTCAACCACTGAAATTCAAGAACAGAGGAACAGATGGGTAGAGTATTTTGAGGAACTCGTGAATAGACCAGCTCCAGTGAATCCAGTGGACATCGAAGCAACAAACACAGATCTTCCTATAGCTCTCACTCCATCAACGATCGAAGAGATCAAGATAGCAATCAGACAAAACAAGAGTAGGAAAGCAGCAGCACCTGAGAATATACCAGCTGAAGCTCTGATGTCAGACATTGAAGTAACTTCAAACATAATTGACGTTCTATTCGAGATTTGGGAGGAGGAACAAGTGCCGACGGACTGAAAAGAAGGACACTTCATCAAGATACTAAAGAAAGGAAATCTGAGAAAAGTGAGGAATACAGAGGTATCACACTACTGTTAGTACCGGAAAACGTTTCCAACAGAATGCTGCTGAACCGCATAAAAGATGCAGCTAAGGATCCACGAAAATGGCAACACTAGAATCAGACAGTGATAGACAATTGTTGTAAGCCATACTAAATAAACAGTGATGACTAATTATGCCCTGTATTTGAGAGTGATTTCTGAAGTCATCGCATGATCAAGTGTGATAAATAGATCAGTAATTAAAAAGTTTTTCGACTGAATCATATCACTAAGCAGTTTATTTTTGAATATGTTTATAACAAAATAATGGCAGAAATTGTATTTGGTTAAAAGTATTTATCCGAAGGATTTGATTAATATGAAAGTAGATTTAACCACATTCGAGATCAACAGACTGGATTCCGTAAGGATCGGTCGTGCACAGACCAAATTACGACATTACAGATCATCATCGAACAATTAGTTGAATGGAACTCGTTACTATACATCAACTTTATTAAATATGAGAAGGCATTTGACAGTGTATATAGGAGAACATTATGTAAACTTCGACACTGTGGAGTTCCTGAGAAGGTTGTCAACATTATTCCGGACTCATACGACGGACTACAGTGTAAAGTCGTGCATGGAGGACAGCTGTATCTCAAGTAAGGACCGGAAACAGACAAGGCTGTCATGGAAGAACCACCAAGAACAATTATTCCAGACAGTAGACTTTAGTTGGTTTATTACGAAAATCAAACACGACTATCGCTTAGAGGCAGTAAATATGGTAGAAAACCACGTGAATTACAGTACAATCTATGATACGCTATTAACCTTCAGGTTAAATTATCATATCAGTTATAACTGCTGATTGGGAAGTATTCATTATTAAATTTCATGATAAGATGTAGTAGCTAACCAAGAAAATAAGAAAATTTAAATCCCGATGTTTAATAAATAATTTCCTATTAGGCATATCCAACAAACTAATCGATTTACTGAAATGTCTAAATGATATATATAGACCTCTTTCTGTCTTTCTTTTTGTTTTCCCATCATCTTGTCGATACACTATCATGTGAATCAGTGGAAAATAACAATAAAGTTCACTTCGGAGATGGTTATTTATTTGAATTAAATATAAGACTAGACATAATGCACAAGTCATATGAATAGAAGCATGGGCAATTTGTGTATGAAAAGTGGCATGTAAATTAGAGTAGGGACAAAAAGTAATTAACTAATAAAACTTTACACAAGTTATAAATCTTCTTCCTCATTTTCATACCCTACATATAATAGTAATAGTTATGTAAAAAAAAATAAATATCCTGACGATAGCACTACACAGTAACTGATTATTTTTTTAAATAGCATAGATTTTTCCAATGAAATATCAGATGAAAGTATAAAGTTTATTACCCCCCACCATCCAAATTAAAAAGTTATTCAACAATTTTTCATGAACCCATAGATTCAGTTTGATGATATGAATCCCAATAGTTCCAACCATATACAACAGATTCAATATTAACTTATAACTTACTAATGGTAACAAATAAAGTGACGATATTCCTCATTGTGTGCACGTTAAATTGTAAGCAAACGTTAACAATGATGAAGAATAAAAACGAGAAGTACAGAGTCTATGACGAATATAAAGAACTAATTGGAATAGCGATTTTTGGTTTTTATAGAAAGTTTAAACGGCAATTCTGCATAAAATTCATCATTATAAGTAGTTTTGTTTAGGATATGTTTACTGAGTCATAAAATTACTTAGGATCTTTAAGAAAACGTTTTTTGTAGAATCATATAGTCATAGTGATATGAATGTAAAAGTAAATTTATGTGTTAAGCTTCTTTTCTTCCAATGTGGATTCTATCATTCGATTTATGTGAGGGCCGGGATACAGTCCAGGTGCTGAAACCGAAGTAGGTTGTTTACTTAAGGGGCCACACCTGTAACCTTTGACCTGAAGGTCTAATCCACAAGGCAGTGGAGCATTGTCAGGAGATGCAGTCCCATGGTAGCCGGAGACCAACAATAGGTTCATATGCCATTTCTTCCTTCAAGATACTGGAGCCCACGTACACCATTAGTTTGGAATCAGGGTTTTCCGACTCCCCTAAGTGATACCTCCGTATCCATTAACCTGGTTAAAGAGTCGGACTTTCCTTTTTCATCCTCTTGATTTCGTAAACAACAGTAATGCCGCGAGAAGGCAGTGAGTAGGACTTCCCTGGCAGTGGTTGTATGCATGTGGCCCACTCTCGGCCGTACTATGGCATTTGTGGGTTATGAGATTATAGTCTTAATTTGTCGACTTTTTCGGGAAACTTGTGAAAGTTTCATAAAATCTCTTATGACATGATAAATAACGAAGATATACTACTGATGATCTATTGAATGAATAATTACCCTTAGCTAAGACAATCTAATTAATGATGATAAAGTTCAATTACAGAAATGTTAGAAAATTCAATCATGTTAGTAATATGCCCGCAAATGCCCTGGTACGGCCGAGAGTGGGGAGAGTCAGCTCTCCCTCTCCAAATGCTCTCACATGGCCACGCGTTTATAGCCTCTACCAGGGAAGTCCTACTCACTGCCTTCTCGCACCACGGGTGTTGTTTACGAAAATCAGAGGACGAAAAGCGAATGTCCGGCTCTTTAACCAGATCCCAAACAAATGGTGCACATGGGCTCCAGTATCATGCGGGAACAAATGGCGTATGAACCAATTGTTGGTCACCCGCTTCCGTGGGACTGCATCTCCTGACGATCCTCCACTGCCTTGTGGATCAGACCTTCAGGTCGAAGGCTCGGGGAGTGGCCCCCTAAGAAAACCACCTGCTTCGGTTCGGGCACCCAGGCAGTATCACAGCCCTCACACATGTCGAATGATTTACATGGTGCATGTCTATTTGGTGCCTCCTTGTACCAATATCTATGTGTTAAAATAATAATAAAATAATCGAAAAGTTATTACTATTATTTCAATAGTTGAGGTCATGAGTCAATTGAAGCTAGACCATCATGGAAAACCTCCTTCTTTAATCGGAGAATAAATGAACTGATTAAATAGTTCTACACTTTGTTTATTTCTTGTATAATTAAACGGATTATTTACACACTACTTATTAAATGATTATTTTTTGTTGTTGTTTATTATAATTATTATTTATTCTCGGAATTTTTGACCTCGATTCTATAGATGGAAAGATTATTTTTTTTCATGTTAACATGCTACTTATTATTCTTACAATCATGATGAAAATGGTTTTTTTTAAAAACAATATATAATTTGCTTATATTTATGCCCTATTGTAAATAAGGTTAATAAGCATCATTTTTTCCCCATTTGGTTTTGGAATTCTATTCGTTGAATAACAA